GGTTTGGATGGTAGAATAATTTATCAGTACCAACTTTGGTTGACGAAATGAGGATTGCATGGTCTCAATGCTAGAAGAGCATGAATGATATATAAATAGCCGATCAGAGTCCCATTCTACAAATCAATCTTAGCACTTTAACCATCATAAGTCTGTTAAATAATATGGCAGCTATTACCCTCTTAGTGCAAAGAGACCGCCTCCATGCACTAGTGGTAGAGTGTCTGCCCGGAGAGCAGAAGGCCTTGGGTTCAGTCCCCGGCCGTGTCACACCAAAAGATGTTAAGAAATGGTACTTGTTGTTACCCTTTCTGGGTAATACAAGTTTCTAAAACAAGGACTGGTTGGCTCGGAGTGAGTATACTATGTCTGAATGGGGTATTTATGTTAAACTGTGACAGCACTATGAAATCGACAATAGTCTGGACTAGTACAAGCAGCGACACGCAGGCACGCACACATGCACACATCACTATATATAAGAGCGATGATCTTGGATGCAACGTTAAACCCCATTTCAACTCAACTCAAATCAACTCAACTCAACTGTTTAACAAGTTCCATGGCTGGTGTCATTGTGCCCTCATACCCAATCATGCTGTCAACCACAGCGGGGTCTACTATGTATGTGATTAACACTGGTTTGTCTTTCCAAGCCCAATACAAGCTGGCTTCCTTACCTCCATATACTAACTTGTTTTTTCAACAGGAATAAAAACAAAATGTTCTCAAAATGTTTGTTATTCAACATTTATGAAATTTTGGCTCAGTTGCATAATGCAAATATTTAAAAATAATATCTAACATTTGACTTGAACTATTGATGATTCCGGTTCTCGTGAAGGTTCATTAAATGAAATTTAAAAAAAAACGTCTTCTGAGCCTGTCACATTCAAGTGATCATTTCTCCATTTTGTGATACTCTCATGTTTCCAACATAAGAGGCTGACCATGTCTTTAATTCTCCGTGAACTGACAGGGATGATAAAGGCAAATATCTTCAGATCTCCGTGTAAAATTGTTACTTATCCATGAAGGCTAGATCAGTTCAATGTCACTTGAAAGATTTTCTTTTGGAAAATCAATTACGTTTGTGGTCGTTTTATATCTCTAATGTCTTGGATAATGACAGTTTTCAGTATAAACCAAACACCAATTTATTTTTCAAAGTTGTAGGAGTCAAATGTGGATATTTTTACAGAAGTTGTGTTTACAAAACCTGAGCTAAACTCTGTTGAGTTGATGTATGCCAGCGATGTTAGTGTTTGATTAATAGCTTTCATGCAGAAAATAGTTCTGTATACATATTTCTCTCCATACAATACAGAATGGGTCCTAAGAGAAGGAAGCTGTTAGTGTTGGAATGGTTGGTATATGTGTATACTCCCTGTTTTAGTGTGATGCAGTTATGTGTAAAAAAGCCTTAGTTAATATTATCTCTGTCATTCTGTGGAATAGTGTTATGGAAAATGTTTAAAACTTCCAAGTGAGACTTACCATTGTGTGATAGCTTTTCACTGGAGACATTTCAAACTATCCCCACTGAGACCTTTACTTGGCTATCGGCAATCAGTGTCGTAGCTTCTGTTAAAGTGTCCATGCTTCTGCACATCTTAGTCTTAAGAGGTTTTTTACACTGTCTAGGACTGATCTTCGTCTTAAAACTTTTAACAAAGTTTAATTGATTAAACATGGTTGCTCTTGTAGTCTGAAGATCTAAAAGTTTTACCGTATATCGCTGTGTATAAGGTGACCCCACGTATAAGACGACCCCCCTGTACACGCCTTCAAAATCAACCCAAAATCCTATACTCCTTGTATAAGGCGACCTGGAATGAAGTACATCACAAGTGCGCACACAAACCTTATATATATGCAATAAAAATACGTTTATCTTGCATTGTTTTTTCTACGTTGATTGGTTGCGTGTATAACTCCAGCAAATGTTGCCATTTTGTGTTTACACGGTACGACACCAAATTGGTGCCCGTAAAATAAAATTCATTTATGAAGTAATAACATATAAGAGACAATAGTGAGTAATTTAATCGCCAATTAACTATGTTGTAACTCACTAGGCTTATGTTTGCTTCACATTCAGCATGTTTATTCCACAATCACTTGTACACACCGTCTCCAACACTTGTTAATACAACTGTAAAAACAGCGGGAATTGATTTCAGCTTCACCGGTTATCACATGTTAGGTCACATGTGCAATATGCAAATGCTTACCGGTACTTCTTGCTCTCTACTCACGGATGTTGATTGTATTACCGTGTAAGCTGGTTTGACAATCTGCATCGAGGAGAGGGTCATTTCAACTTTATTTGCAGAAATTATTAAACTTTATTCAAGGAAAAGAGATACAAATCATGTTTATGTATGGAAATAGTTATTGGAACAGTTATTTAGGACGAAATGCGAAGTTTTATTGTCAAATGCTGGGCTGGCTATCGGACGCCGGTTGACATCGCCAGTGGAAAAAAATGTGAGATCTTCTACTCTGTGTATAAGACGACCCCCCTTCTTAACCCCTTCATTTTAGTACGAAAAACTCGCCTTATACACAGCGATATACGGTAACCTTACGGAGAGGAAAACTGGGGGAGAATAGATTGCTATGACCAATATTTCAGAGCTGACAAATGAGAATCAGGGCATTGTTTCACAAAGCGATCATACCGCTGTGACAGTCAGACGTCTGTGTTAAAGTTTAGTGCTTAATGGAACCCTTGTGAATACAGGTTGTGACCTGGTTGTGTGTGTCTCATCATGTCGTGATCGACCGCCACCATGGTCTAGTGGTAAAGGACCGCCTCTGTGGTCTCATGGTAGAGCGTCCGCCCGGTGAGCGGAAGGTCCGGGGTTCGATTCCCAGCCGCGTCATACCAAAAGACGTTAAAAGATGGTACTTGTTGTTACCCTGTCTGGCACTCGGCATTAAGGGGCTAAAACAAGGACTGGTCGGCTCGGAGTCTGTATACTGTGTCTGAGTTGGGTATTCATGTTAAACTGCGACCTGGTATCTCAGTGTGCTAGCACTATAAATCAGCATCAGTCCGGACTAGTACAAGCAGCCACACACACACATACACGTGCATGCACGTTGCTATATAAGTGCAATAATCTTGGACACAACGTTAAACCCCATTTCACCTCACCTAATGGTAAAGCATCTGCCCGGGGACGGAAGGTCGGGGGTTCAATCCCTGGCCGTGTCATACCAAAAGACGTTAAAAGATAGCAGTTGTTGTTATCCTGCCTGCCGCTTGCTATTAACGGACAAGAACTGGTCGGCTCGGAGTCTGATGTGTCGGAGTGGAGTATCCATGTTCATCTGCGTGAGATCTCAGTGGGCTAGCACTATGAAATCGGCATTAGTCTGGACAAGTACAAGCAGCCGCACGCACGCACGTACACACACACGTGCATGCATGTCATTATATTAGTGCAGTAATCTTGAATGCAACGTTAACCCCATTTCACCTCACTTCACCTCATCTCTGGATGACATCGATCATTGTTTATTATATAAACCAGTAGTTTGCCTGTCCCAAACTCGGTTGTTCCTTGCACCATGATATAGGTGGAGGATGGCTGACCGGTGGCTACAACATTCATGCATACACTACTCAACATTTGCTCATGACCAAACTAGACATCTTCAGTGAACAGAAGTATAATTATATTCCATGGCTGCTCCAGACCATGTATATGATATTTCATCCTAATTTGTATCTTGTATTGGGGGTTACTTCATGAAAAGGACTAGTTTTACAAAATAATTGACTATAAAGGCTTAATGTTTTCTGATAGTGGTTTCAATGTGGTGGTGATGGTTGGGGGGGTCGGGGGGTGGCATGGTTGGCCCAGTCATCTATGGCGCAGCGATATGCTGTGCCGAGTTGCGTCCTTGGGCACGCCAGAAACCAATGATTGTGGGTTCAAATCCTGGTACGCCCCGATTATGTTTCTAGGTTTGTCAGCACCATACCCATGCTCGTGGGTAAAAGTGGTAAACGTCTAAGACCTGCATCACTTTGGGGTTTCCTCCCTTATTAAGCTGACACACAGTGATATAACTGGAATAATGTTAATAGGGCCCTTAAACCCAACTCACTCACTCACTAAAATGTGAGGCATTGTAGATACATGAAGTTTTTCAATATTTATAAATGAAGATTGTATGGTATGAACACTGAATTGTTTCTCTGAAGAACTTGAATCTGTACATGAATCTTGTTTAGGAATGTCATCAAAAGAGTCCCACTGTCATTCTGTTTCTTCAACTCTCAATCCCTACAATGCTGTGCAGAGTTGCCTCCCTTAGGTATGCCAGTAACCTGTGATGTGAGTTCGTGTCCCACTTTGCCCTGATTATTTGTCTAGGTTTGTCAACATAATTCAATGACAGTCCATTAGAGTCTAGTAAAATTCTGTTTGGTCCAATAAACTCAGGTAGTTAGTCTGAAAATGACATCAAAATGTACAAAAGATGATGCTTTTAACCAAGTTTGGGTTAGTAGACACAAAGGTTTTTGGCGTTGACTGCCATGAAGTGTTAGTCTTGCATTCCTCCTGCATTAGTCTGTCACAGACAGTGACATGCTTGAAATACTGCCCAAAGGAGCATTAAACTGCCACTAGATTATCCTTATCTTGTGTTGTCATGACAAATCTAAATATTTTCTAAAAACAATATATGATAAATGCTTGAAAAAAATCAATATCCCCCCATTAAAGTCCATTTTTTAATGAAAAGCTATGAAATGAGTTGTTTATCTGATACACCGGAATTCTTTATCCTGTCAATAGCAAATATTTGTGGTAGTGGAAACAGTGGTTGGGAGTACATGAAACTGTTCTAAACTGTCTCTTATCAAACACAGAGGCCCTGGTTGCCGTGAGAGAAAGCAGACCCGATTGGTCCACATCCCCATCAGTGGGCTCCCAGTTAACGTGGTAACGTGGCTAACAATATCTCTACATCCATTTCAGATCGGTCTGTAGGAGAATAGCATCCGACTGCTGACAGGGAACGTCGTTGTTGTGGTAAGTGCTCCCTTCTTGTCATTTCAGCTTTCTTGATATAATCCTAATGCAATTATGGTGGTGATAAATGGACATATTTGATATTGCTCTTGTGTTTTTATTCCCTGTGGTTAATCCATAATCAATTGGACATCAATATGATTTGGGGGGTTTAGTGACTATCACTTGCAGTTCCCATATTTCATGCATTACAGACTTTAGATATTATTTTTCCACAATGTGTCATTTTCTTCCAGAAAATGTATTACTTTTTAACAGATTTGTGACAATTGAGTTACATTTATTAATTTATTTTGCTTTGAGGAAGTAAATTATTCATTCAAGTGAATGTTGGCTCTATTTCTAAAGGTATAATTGGATACAATGTGCATCCTCTTTTTTTAAATGTAGAAAAAAATTGTAACTGATAAAGCTAGTTGTGAATATTTAAACTTGTTTCATGTAATTCAATTTACATGCTAATGCAATGTTTTGTTTGATAACTCACAACTTTCCACCAATAAGAAGATTTCATGACTCATGATTTCTTAACCAAATTGTACTTATCTTCCGGACAATAGCATTTTGAATACTTTCATATCATTTTATGAAAGCAAGACGACCAAATACATATTTTCTTAGTAAATGGAGCATTGTTTTTAAAACCATGAACATTTATTGGTGCCTGCTCTGACTACACAGACACAGGTGCAACTGGCAATCCCAAGTCTGAGGAAACCTGGCTGAAAACATAATCTTATGAAGTGTTACCTGTGTTTTTGAGGTTGGATCAGATTTGGCTAAAATATGTTTGTCATTAAATTTTCTTTCCTTATTTAAAAAGTTAGTCAGGAGGCATTTTCAAATATATATTTTTAATTGTGATAATTAAAGCATCTGTGTACTTCAACTGTCAAATGTGATTCACATGAAAACTGAATATTTGGTATGATTATATCTACAGTGTATATAATCAAATGAAGAAAGGGGCACTGTGTGGTGTTTTTTTTATCTCTGTAGGCTCAGGGGAACAATAAGATGTGAGTCAGGCAGGGATGGATACTCCTTTTTATCACATGTTGTTGGTGATTCTTTTATTTTGTGGTAAAAGTGCATGTTACGCATGCAAGGTTTTTTCTAGTAGTTGAGTTTAGTTTCCTTGTCAGAAAGGTTATCCATGTGTTGTTTCAAATAGCAACATGGTAATAAATTGGTGTTTCTCATCATCAAGGAAAACAAGATGTGATAATTGATATTAATTACATGAAACCTGGCTCTTCGCAAACGTGATAACAGCCAATCAAGAACATTAACTGATCATTATCATATCTTTGTAGATGATTATACAGTTTCCGTATTTCGCTTTTTCTTCGTTTATCACAAGTCAGTTGACATTACATTGGCCATGACTCTCAGAATGGCAGTCGAGTGTTTTAACTTGACTTATATTAGTCCCAGAAATAAACTTTTCTTATTTACAAATATATGTCTATATTTGTTGGATTCATTCCTTTAGGTGTTCTATACGGTCTGGGAGACAGACGAGGTTTGAATTTCCCCTTTCGAATTACCATTTCGTCTCTGAAATACAAATATTATAAGATCTGTTTTATTAATTTGTCGTTAACATTGATAAAGGAGACTGGATAATATCTTCAATTTCGGAAACTGAAGAAATCTAGACTTGCCAAAATATTGTAGACTTGCTTGAGAGTTTTCGTGTATTTTTGTTTCCGGGTCTGGATGAGAGTTCATGTTTAACGTAGTTGTCACTGTGAACAGCCATGTTTGCTTCCTTGCAGGAGACGTGTTTCCGTGTGATGTGTGATGAATGTGTGATTGACCGAGACCTAAGCATGCATTTCATGCACAGTTGTTGGCTATTCGAAACCACATCACTTTGGAATTATCTAGTTTAAGGTAGTTTGAATTGTTCATTGACAGATAATAGGTTTTCAAAATGCTTGCTGAAAAGGCAACTTTGCTGGTCGTAAGAGGCGATGAATGGGATCGGGTGGTCAAACTTGCTGACTTGGTTGATGCATGTCATCACATCCGTTGTGGATTGATGTTCATGATGTCAATCACTCTATTGTCTGGTCCAGATTCAATTATTTATAGACCGCCGTCATATAGCTGGAATATTGGTGAGAGCCGTGTTAAACAACAAACAAACAAACAAGTCATTGACAGCATGTATGCACCAAACTTCTGTGTTGTTTTATTCACATATGTTAAATTGGCAGACTTTATATTCTGGCTGTTGAACGTCTCCAGCTGCTGGCTTCTTTGATAATGCAATAAATATGTATGTAAATGTAGATAGGAAATCTGCGTTTTATTTTTATAAATGGGTAAGTTCTCTGTTCAGTGTTTTCTTTAGATAATTCCAGCATTTTGGTTTTATCACAGTTATTTAGGTTGGTTGTTTTACATGATTTCACATGGCTGCTGTTGTATCAGTTTCTGAAAACAGCAACATCTCTGTGTGTCAATCAGTTTACAAGTGTAGTGTTTCTGGATGTTTAATGTAGATTCTTTCATGGGCTGTATTGTCAGGGTTTGAAAGTGAATTCAGAGTGTGTTATACAATACCTGGCTATTAATTGTGTACCTTACTGTCTGTAATGTTTACGTTCCGTATTATACTCAGAATATGTGTTCCGCTACAATATGGAATCCGGGTATTAGTGTTACCCGAAACCGGAAGTCAGGTGTGTACGATCAATGAATAAAAACCAATCATCATCACCTCGTGCTCTCGTGGTTAATGACAATACATCACATTTTGGCGACGAGCAGCCTATCGGCCGACCTCTACAGATACCCTAGAGGTAATTACTGGTGAGAGACACTTTTCTTGTGTTTGAATCGATACGAACATTGACTTTTTCCATAGTTCGTTCACACCTACCCTCGCACAACGTTGACCGTACGTAGATAAAATGGCGGCGTCGTTACCCCCGTTCGCAGAATTCGAACTGCAACCTCGAGAAACAGCACCTACTCGTTTCTCAAAGTACCTCAGGCGATTAGAAAACCTATTCCTCGCCACGGACATCACTGATGCAAACCGTAAAAAGGCTTTGTTGTTGCATTATTCGGGTGAAAATGTGAATGACATTTTCGATACGCTGACTGTTCCTGCGGTTTCAGAGGACGCTGAGGACCGGAAGGACGTTTATTTGTGTGCGATGAAAGCGCTAAAGACTCATTTTGAACCGCAGAAATGCATTGATCAGCTTGTTTACTCATTTCGTCAGGAAACGCAACAAAGTGGAGAGACTGTCAGTGAATTTTATACCCGGTTAGTGATCTTGGCAAAACGGTGTGAGTTTCATGATGAGAACCTGGAAATTAAACGGCAAATCATCCAAGGAACACGTGATCACAGACTCAGACGTAAAGCCATTGAACAAACACTGACACTTGACAGTATTTTGAAAACCGCTCATTCCATGGAAGTTGCTAAAGAAAATGACCTCATGTTCAGTTCACAGCAATCACAGCAACAAGTGCATGCACACCGAGCGAGAGATCAGAAACCACGCCCAAGGGTTACAGTGGAAAATACAACATGTGGATTGTGTGGAGGACACTATCCCCATCATGGCACCTGTCCAGCACATGGAAAAGTATGCCACAAATGTGGAAAATTAAATCATTTCAGTCATGTGTGTCGTTCTAAACCAGATTCCAGTCCCCGCAAACCTGGCAATTTCAATCGTGGCCGTGGGAGAGGAAATTGGAAACAAGGAAATTGGAAACACACACCAGGGAGAAACAGACAATCTGCTCGATCAGTCAATCATGAAGATGAAACAAACAACACAGTAGCTGGCGCTACACACAAAACAAGTAGTGGGGAAGAATACACCTTCCTGCTATCGAAAACAAGTCTGGTTGACGCACCATTTTTCGACATTTCCGTTTCTGGTTCCCCGATCCGAATCATGGCTGACTCTGGTGCTACAGTGAATATTATGAACAAGTGTGACTTTGACAAACTCAACCCGAAACCACAACTTATTTCATCCAAAACCAAAATCTACCCCTATATGTCCATATCACCATTGAACATTTTGGGGAAATTTGAAGCAGACCTGGCTTGTGAATATTCAGACAGGGAGTGTAGAGAGACATTTTATGTTGCGAGTGGACCAAGTAGCTCACTAGTCAGTTGGAAGACATCACAGAAGCTGAACCTCATTCGTGTGGCCAACAACATACACGTGTCGACTGGTGAGAAGTCAACCCCAAAAAAGTCAACAGAGAAGTCGACTTTGCCGTCAATCATACAAGAATTTCCAAATGTGACAGAAGGTATGGGTGCATACATGGGAAATCCTGTCAGAGTCTACGTTGACCCGAACATAAAACCAGTAACACAACCACATCGCAGAATTCCATTTCACGTTCGGAAACAGGTGGAAAAGAAAATCGAAGAGCTCGAGAAATCAGATATCATTGAGAAATGCAACGGGCCGACACCATGGATCTCGCCGATTGTTGTTGTACCGAAACCGAGAAACCCAGATGACATACGCATATGTGTAGATATGCGATCTGTGAACCGTGCTATCATTCGTGAACGCCACATTATACCCACGATTGATGACATCGCAGCAGACCTCAATGGCTGTAAGTTGTTCAGCAAACTTGATCTCCAGCAAGGGTACCATCAAATCATGCTACACCCTGATTCTCGGAATTTGACTGCATTTTCCACGCACATTGGGCTTTACCGGTACAAAAGGCTCAACTTTGGCATGTCGTGCTCAGCCGAAATATTCCAAAAAGTGATTGGAGATGTGATCCAAGGCATCCCAGGTGCTCGCAATATCAGCGACGATATCTACATTGGTGGTAGAAATGTTTCGGAGCATGATCAGCGCCTACGACAAGTGTTACAGCGTCTGTCTGACTGCAACCTGACAATCAATGCATCAAAGTGTGAGATTGGTGTGCCTAGCATGCTATTCTTCGGTCATCGATTTAGCGCAGATGGTATCTCACCTGAT